ACCAAGCCATCTAGTTAGAAATGAAGAACAATGCTGTGTGATTTGAAAGCTCTTACATGCAGTGCAAACAGAAAACAGTGTAAGGGAACAACTAAAAATATCTCACAAAGTTTACTACCCCAGTTATTACTAAAAAGCCTAGGAGTAAGGAGTACATATGGCAAGAACAGAGCTATTAAGTTTAGCTATCCTGTCATCAGAGCAACAAAAGTGACTTTAACATAAAAGACCCCAGTCTGCTGCTCTCTGTCCCCACATTGACCTAGACACCTGCAGAGCTAATAACTTCTAGTAAAATTAAACCTTGATTTCCTTACTGAGCCAGCCTGTCGTCTTAGGTGAATCACGAACAGCAGGAGCGGATTACCTAAATCATCAGAACTGTCTGTCTTAGGTAAATTCTCAACCCTAGTTTTAAGGTCAGTAGGGATTTATCCATAGCAGAGTCATGTTAAAGAGGCATGCTTCCAAGGAGTAGCTGTTGCTAAGATCAGGAGAAGACCTAAAAGAGGACAGAAAAGGAAACCAGAGAATCTGAAAAACTGAGCAAAGGGGGAAACAATAAATTGGGAAGTCTTTGAATAGTCTTGATGTTAACCAAAAGATTTGTTCAAGAAACTGAGCAAAAGGCTGGGAAGAAGTAATGGTCAGAAGGTGGTGTGGTGGGGGGGGTTCATCTTAAGGAAGGATGAATGATGGAGCAGGAAGGATTAAGAAGTGGTAAGGGCTCAGAGGCCACTGAGCCTAGCCTATCACCACAAAGCAGATCTAGCCATGCATCATGCTCCCACAAATCAGCCTCCTCAACTCACATTGCATTGTGGCCCAAGCCGTAGGTACGTGCATGGAACAGTAGCCCAATAACCCATTTAAATTAGAACAGTACATTCAGGAGGAGTGACTCAGACAGAACAAGCAGCAAGGGGGAGGATGCCTAGCTTCCCACTACAGCCCCACCTCACATTAGTAGCTTCCATCACTACAGTGTTCCAAATATGTGTGTGCATGCGCCACAAACAAAAAGTAATGAAACAAGCAGGGTACCAGCAGAACTGATAGAGACATTTTTATCCCAACCCTGAATTTGTTGCTGACCTGGTCATCACAAGCGAAACTCACCCAAAGCAAGTATTATTGGGTGTATCTTCACCCCACCTGTTGTTTTGTCTCCTGCTGGGCCATCCTCTGCCCCAAATCTGAGATAGAGGAATGCCTAGATGGTAGCCTGCATGCCTTCTCATATTTAGTACTTTCAATTTTAAACACATCTATCCACCCCCTGTCTTGATGTAGATAATATTGTTGTCTGTATGTTATAACAAAGAAAGTTAAAATAAGATTAATTTGATTGTCAAAGGGAAAAATTGGGCTCTGACCTGGATAGCCCAGGCAAGCCCGATCTCATCAGAACTCGGAATCTAAGCAGGGCCGACCCTGGCAAGTATTTGGATGAGCGACCTCCAAAGAATACCAGGCCCACTAGGCAGAGGCAGGCTATCAAGCCACTTCTCTGAACGTCCTCCATACCTCAGTATAATGCCCCTGTATAAATCGATGGTGCGATCTCATTTGGAGTACTGTGTACAGTTCTGATCACCACACCTCAAAAATGATATTATAGCATTGGAAAAAGTGCAGAAAAGGGCAACTAGAATGATAAAAGGGTTGGAACACTTTCCCTATGAAGAAAGGTTAAAGCACTTGGGGCTCTTTAGCTTGGAGAAACAACAGCTGAGGGTTGACATGATCGAAGTTTATAAGATTATGCATGGGATAGAGAAGGCAGAGAAAGAAGTATTTTTCTCCCTTTCTCACAATACAAGAACTCATGGGCACTCAATGAAATTGCTGAGCAGTTGGTTTAGAACAGATAAAAGGAAGTACTTCTTCACCCAAAGAGTGATTAACACATGGAATTCAGTGCCACAGGAGGTGGTGGCGGCTACAAGCATGGACGGCTTCAAGAGGGAATTAGATAAACACATGGAGCAGAGATCCATCAGTGGCTATTAGCCACAAGGTAAAGATGGGAGCTCTCAGTCTGAGGCAAGTGATGCACTGTATTCTTGGTACTTAGAGGGGGCAACAATGGGAGGGCTTCTAGTGTCCTGGCCCCACTGGTGGACCTCCTGATGGCACTGGTATTTTTGGCCATTATGTGACACAGAGTGTTGGACTGGATGGGCCATTGGCCTGATCCAGCAGTGGCTTCTCTTATGTTCTTAGGAG